ATTTCCAGGTGAATTTATCATCAACTATGACACCTAGAAATTTAATTTCATATACTCGTTCTATATTAGCTCCCCCTATTTTCACTTGCAGTTCGTTATCTAGTCTACGATTCCCAAATACCATGAATTTAGTTTTATCCATATTCATGGATAGCATATTACTATCACACCATTTCTTTATCTTCTCAAGTTCCTGTGAAACCTGTCCCAATAGTCGCTGTGGGTTATCCCCTGATGCCCATATCGTAGTGTCATCAGCAAATAAGACCATTTTCACAAAAGTCGAAACCTTGCACATATCGTTAATGTATAAGATGTAGTGATGAAGCAGGTCAGAACAAGACGTTTTCCATTTCTGACAGACACAGGAACTGTTTTCTTCAGTTTGTCCATCACGTTCTCTGGTACAAGTGAAGTGGAAGCATCAAATACCTAGAGGGCAAAGTGTAACGTCACTGTACCTTAAGACCTGACAAACCTTCCTGCACAGAAAAAACAAGTTGGTGTAGGATCCAAAACCTACAGGTTTATTCAAAGATGAAATGTGTGAAACTGCTTTTAAAAGCTCTGTAGCATAGTTACTTTTAAAATAGTTGAATGTCACTGATATCGTATATTAATAAAGTGAGAAAATATGGTTACCATTATTCCTAAGGCTGTTTTGATTGTGGTGCAGCTGAAGTAGACGTGTGTTTTTAGTGTTGTTGCTTTGGGCCCTTTAAAAACTTGGTCACATCTGAACACAAGCCCGATGCAGGTATTTTTAGATTCAGTGACTTAAACTTTCCGAAGGTATGATTATCTCTGATGTGCTTCTTTAGTGGTTTAAGTGGTTCCGAATAATTGTAATATTAAATGATCATTTAAATTGGGATGATTTGTCTGAATTAATTTAGTCGGCATTACACTCTAGCCATGAAACTTCACAAAAGCATGTAATGACATCCACTTAGAAATGACACATAGCACTTTTAGCTCCACAACATGTCCATCATCGTGTTTAAGTTATCTTCATTATCAGACAAGTCCAGCACTAATGATCTTTAAACAGCCGTGGGTAAACTACAAACAGAAGCTACTGGTAATCACCTTAGAGCAGGGGTGGGCAAACCTTTTGGCTCAGGGGCCACATTGACTTTTAAAATTTGACAGACGGGCCGGGCCAGCACCAGATGCATACATATCAAACATAAACATATAAAAGGCATTACAGTGTTAATACTTACATTCACTTTTAGTGGGAACAGTGTTGTTGATCACCCTTTTTTGCCAGTGCATCGAAGTC